TGTTGTAGTTTCAAAGATATTTAGTGTGTAGATCTATGTGTGTTGTCATTTGTTGCGCTTTCAATGTGATTCTTTTAGTAACACTCCTCTTTATACTATAAACCATCTGCTAACGCATTTTTTCTGTAACACAAGTGATACCATATGAGGTTTACAATTAATTTGTAAGCAGAATCTCTTGTGCCTGTTTGACTGTCTTCAAATTATCAATAATTTTACATTATAATCCACGGCCCAAGGGCAGCTATTAGTTTATTAAGGTTTTAATAAGGTTAGGTTTACCTGTATAATACTTTTATATTCACAGACTCTGGTTTATACATGCATTGTCCACACATCTTTGTTAACAACTTGATCATATCTATATCTATATGTATATGTATTTCTATGCATCTATATATATATATATATATATATATATGTGTATATATAGTATATATGTATATATAGTATATATATGTATATGTGTATATGTGTATATGTGTATATATATATATATATATATATATATATATATATATATATATATATATATATATATATATATATATATATTTATATATATTTATATGCATTTAAATTATAATTATAATTATAATTATAATTATAATTATAATTACAATTATAATTATAATTATAATTACAATTATAATTACAATTACAACAATAATAATAATAATAATTATTATTATTATTATTATTATCATTATTATTATCATTACTCCTTCTCCTGCTCCTCCTCGCTTACGCAGATTACAATGCATTTCTAAATCTTTGTCTGCCATAGTCGTGTAAAAATTTGCCAAAATAATCATGACTAATGTTATTGTACTATTTTATACTCTGGTTCACTACCTGTGATTAGTTCAACCTGCTGCCTTTGATTAATTCAGCTCCAGAATGGCAGGTACACAATTCATTGGTTTAAGTGTCCCTACCTATGTAACTTTTCTACAAACATTTCTAAGGCACTTTTAATGTTGTAAAAAATAATCATAAATTTGTGCAGAGCATGTATTAAAATATAGAAAGGTTACAAAGGAGGCAAAGAAACAAAGGTATGTGAACAAGGTGAGTAGGAAATAATGTCAGTGTTATGGATCCTGTTGGAGTGAATGTCTCTTGAGTTCTTTTGTCTCCCGGCAGCTAATAAATAACAATACATTCCTTACATATGTAAACAAGCTCACCCCCCAAAAAAATACTTGTAGGAATGTGCTGTCTAATACAGAATGTATAATTGTACTGGGGGGGGGGGAGATTAGAACTGCTGAAGGAAGAACAAAAACTAAAATAGGCAACCAACAGGAGCTCATTGCCTCTTCTCTGAGTGCTGCGTGGGTTGGTGATGGGTACGTAGGCGCTCCCTTGGGGACACCAAATAAACACAATCCATTTGTATAGCATGTCTTATTTCATTTTCCCATTACATTGCCCAATGCCAGAAATATGAATAAAAGGTATGGACTCTGGTATGCAGTCTAAGAAATGGATATATTGGAAGCCTGGGAGATTTTTCACACACTCATGCATATTCACATACATACACATATTCAAATACAAACACAGAGGTTGAATTAGTATGAATTTCCTCACCTGCAATTTTATTATGTAAAAAATACTGAAATATACAGTTCCACATCTGGTGATTAATTTGCATACAGTTAGAGTTCTGAAGAATGAACCATGAACAGATATTCCAGTGGAAGAGCAATATGAAAATAATAATAATAATAAAAATACTAAAACACAAATAAACATATGCATAATAAATACAGGCTTTTATGAAATGTTGCAATACATTTTTCAACAAACACAAATAACTAACAAGAATTTAAAAAAAGGTCTGACAAGTGAATACTTCACCTGTACACATGCCCCTCCCCCCAAACAAAAATGAGGACAGGTAAGTTGTTAAAAAGACAAATTAACCTACAGAAGAAAAAATAAAGCTGTTCATGCACCTGTAGGGCTTGCTCCAATACTCAAGGGAAATTGTCGACTTAAATATAAACTTAAAATAACTTTTATTATTTTTAATCCTTAAAATTCCTTCAGATGAAAAAATGGTCCCTTATCTGAGGGTCATGCAGAATGAATATTATAGAAATGATGATCATCATCATGATATTAACAATGAAAACAACAATAATAAATATTAATAAAAATGATAATAATAACATAAAATAATGATAATAATAATAATAATAATAATAATGATAATAATAAGAATAATGATAATGGTCATGGCGATAATAATAAAACAATAATAATAGCAATGACAATAATAATAATATAATAATAATAATGATAATAGTGATGATAATGGTCATGGTGATAATAAAAACAATAATAATAATAATAATAATAATAATAATAATAATGTTGATAATGGTGATGATAATGATAATAAAAACAATAATAACAGCAATGATAATAATAATAATAATAATGATAATAAAAAGAAGAATGATAATGGTGATGATAATGGTCATGGTGG